GTCCCGGGCCAATCGGGGCGGCGAGAAGCCACGGCCAGCACATCGCTCGCCCGCGCCGCTTCTCGCCACCCCCATTGGCCCAGGATGGCGAACCGCGGCGAGTGGGGGGCCGTGATCGGCCGAACCTGCCGCATCAGCAGGTAAATAAAACTGGCCCGGCCCGCTAGGGTGCTTACCCTGGCGAGCCGCGTGCCGAACATTGCCGACCCCTGCTATATTGCCTTAATATGTTGACAAGACAAGTCAGATTACTCAGAACATTACATCTGCTCTGATGGGCAGATACCTCCTAGAAAAATGAAACTGTTGGCAGAGCAGTATAGTGTTGCTGACATGACTAAATCAAAATCTAAAAATTCATAGGATAGGAGATTAAGAAACAGTACTGAAAACTAGGGATGTAAATATTGGTTTTAAAAGTTAACTGGTTAAATGATTAAAATTATATCATTTAACCGGTTAACCGAGGTCACTGCAGCCGGCCTGGCACAGCAGGGGCAGGGGTATTTGTTTAGAAAACCTCAACTTCTTGAAAATTTTGTTTTGAAACTTAAATTATAGACAAAATGGCTTCTTCCCTTTTAATAGGGCTGGGGGGGGGGGGGGGGGGGGTGGCCTTTCCTATCAAAAAAAAAAATGTGAAAATTTCAAACAAAGCAAAAAAAAGTTTCCCATGAAACCTACTTCTTGACACTTCCAGTATATGTCCTGTTTTCTTGATATATCTAATGCATTAAATCCTAATAATCTGGTAATGAACTCTGCAGATTTGCGCAGTTGTAGCATTCATTGAGGAGAATTTAAAATTGTTACTTCAGCTTATACTTCTCTATAGATGCAAAGTATAATGCACTTTAAATTTTTCTCCCTAAGATTGATCTTGTGTTTGCAAGGCTGGCTGTACAGACTATTTCTGATAACTTGGATCTTCGAGATGATTCACGTCTAAGGAGCCTGGATATAAGATGTATACGAAGCTTAAATGGTAACTTCTGTTTTAATCTTAAACCTGATAACTCTTATTCATGTGGGATAAGAACATATTTTGTAAAATGTTAAGTTGAATTAGAAATAGACATGTATTTTGTTTACAAATTACTACCTTTTCCAAGTTTGTACAAAAAAGACATTACTCCTGTTGCATAGATTCCTAATATTCTCCTGTATGCTTTATTGGATGAGATCTGAGATATTCAGATACCACAGTGATGGGTAGGTTAAAAAAATCTGGATAGATCAAGGTCCTGTCAGTTCTGGATATTAGACACTTTAATGGGTCGGGCAAATGTCTGACCATACCCAACATTTTCCTGCTTCTTTGTTCACTGTGCTTATGCCAGTTGGTTGCCTCTTCCACTACAGGGGGAGCTGTATTCCAGTGCCACTGTATGTAAATAGCTAAAGCAGGGGTCGGCAACCTTTCAGAAGTGGTGTGCCGAGTCTTCATTTATTCACTCTAATTTAAGGTTTCGCATGCCAGTAATACATTTTAACATTTTTAGAAGGTCTCTTTCTATAAGTCTATAATATATAAACTAAACTATTATTGTATGTAAAGTAAATAAGGTTTTTAAAATGTTTAAGAAGCTTCATTTAAAATTAAATTAAAATGCAGAGCCCCCCGGACCAGTGGCCAGGACCCGGGCAGTGTGAGTGCCACTGAAAATCAGCTCATGTGCCGCCTTCGGCACGCGTGCCATAGGTTGCCTACCCCTGAGCTAAAGCATTTGACATGAGGTGATATCTATAAAAGTAAACTATTGCTATGAATTATTTAAAGTAAAGGAAGTCTTCTGATACTTCGAGCTTAACCTCACTACTCAGCAATCCTGAGTTCTGTCTAATTGTGTATGGCTCTTAAAACTGACCGACTTGGCTCTCGGATCCACTCCCACCTCCAAATGATCTCATGCAGAATGGCCTTTCACTTGTTAAAAATTGGTTGATTATAGCTGCAGCCTAAACTCTAAAAATCTCTGATATTCACAAGGTATGTGGATGCATACTGGAGGATACTAACATGTCTGCTAACCATATTTACAGTAGTAAAATATGGATATAAAAGCAATTGTTATCCAATGCTTACTTTAGAAACCCTTTCACCAAGACAAAGTGGTAAACTAGTAAAAACCTGAGATTATTAAATTTGCAATTTAAATCTCTTGCAGGTTGCAGAGTTACTGATGAAATTCTGCATTTAGTGCCACACAAGGAGAACTTCAGACTAACACTTAGAGCAATTAAACTGTGGGCAAAACGTGAGTAAAACATAGTCATTCTTGATCTCTACCCAGAAGCTTAATTGTTCTTGAAAAGTTCATGAAAAGTCTAGATAACTAAAGGCTGAGAGTAACATGTCCAACCTCTTGAGGAATATTTCATGGGGTAACTCAGGAATCTTTTAAAATGCCAAACTTGCCATGTATGTGATCGTGAATAAGAACTGTGATCTTTATTTCAAAACTAAATTTTATTCCGACATGCTAAAGTAGTAAACACTCATAAATAGGGTATTGAGTAGTCATGATGCTAGGTAAATAGTCCTACATAGAAGGTGAGGCAAATGTCTCCATGGGGGTCAAAGTAGCTTAAAGCATGTTCATATATTTGTTATGAGAACTGCTGAACACAACCTTTTTACACCATAACCCTCTACTTTTCATGTGCCTATTTGCACAATGGATTATATAAACTGAACTAACATTCTTCTTTGAGTGTCCTCTGCATATTTTCACTCTTGGGATGTGCTGACCAGTGCAATTTGGACAATGGAATTTTCTGGTAAGAGTGCTCATTAGAGCGCTCCCACACCCTTCCTGCCCCTCACCCCAGTGTTTGAGTACATTCTGAGGCTTTGGCACCAAATGCTGCCTCAGTCTCTTCCAACTGCAGCGGACAGATGGATGTGGACTTCTCTAGATCTCTTAGATCCATAGTTTAAGTGCCTTGGTGGTGGGTGGGAAGGAGGTGGGTTTTTTTTTTTTTGTTTTTTTTTAAAGATTAATCAATTAATAGTGTTAGGTTAGGTTTTAGGATAGTTCAGATATTCAGCAGGACTTTTTACAGGTGTCCATGGCAGATCTGAAGATGAAGAAACATGGCTTTAAAAGATATCATGCCATGCAGTCAGACATCCTTACCAGATGTCTTAAATGCCTTGGGAAAGGCATTCCCCTTTGCCTTGCACTATTTATAGTACGTTCATTCCCCAGGCCAGAAAGACTCCAAGCCTTCTTATTGCAGGAAGCTTTGACTGCCAGACCTCTGTGATTGTAGGTGATGAAGAGATCTGAGGGAAAGGATAGGAGGCCTGAATAGGCTCAGAGTATTTCTGCATCCAAGCAGAATACCATGGTAAAGGTGTCTACCTCAGCACCAAGCTCCGGTTGCAAATCAATGGAGCTATCGGTACCTAAGACATCCAATCTGGTTCCAAAACACTCAAGCCCCTCTGACATTCTGGGGGGCAATCCAGACCAGTGGGGGGCTGTCAGCACTTACCCTGCAAACTTAGGTGCCTCAACTGCAAAGCATTGTGTAGCTCTCACCTGGGCCACTCAGACTTCCAGCACGCAGGTAAGATCCTGAGTATCTGTGTATACTGAAGCCTGTTATCCACATATCAGTCACACTTTGGCTTCCACCAGGTTTGGTTATCACTTTCAAGGTGACCCCAACATATTCCCAGTCCCGAAGTTTTCCCCCAAAATGTGTTCTGTACTATCCAGCCCTGTCCTGGACAGTCCAGGTAACTTAGAGGGGCAATGGATCCAATATTTCTACCCTAAATGGAGTTACCCGCACAGTTTAAAACACTGAATTAGTTTTGATTAAAGAACAAAACAAACTTGTTTAACTACAAGGAGGTAGGTTTTAAGCGAGTACAAGTATAAAGCCGTAAAGTCAGAGAAATGGATACAAGAGAAACAAAGATAAAATGCTTCCTAGTACTAAAACTTAATAAACTAGACTTGGTTCAAGGTGAAGTCCCTTACCATGTGTTCCCAGTAACATTGCTGACTGAATTCTCAGGCCAGAACCTGCTCCCAAAGTCCAAAGGCTGTTTCTTTCCTCTTCTTAAGGGAAAGACTGAGAGATGGTTAGGGAAAGATAACTTGGGGTCTTTGCCCCTCACTTTTACAGTTCAGTCACACTCTGAAACACATTTTTCTGAGGGTTACCCTCAGATAAAATTCATTCCCACTGTGAGGATGGAGACAAGGAGTCTGGTGGTGAAAGAGGTTCAATACTGTTTGCTAAAATGTAGATTGATCTGTTCCTGCCCTACTTCTTTGCCACAGAATCATCATTTGACAGGTGATTGCCCATCAATTTTGAGATCTGGCTAGAGGCATCAGCTTGTCTTTTGTCTTTAAGAAACTGGTTTACCCAGACTTATCTGGTAAACACATTTCAGGCCTAATTTCAGCTTATGTTCATAACTTAACATATAATGTTGCTATATACATTTCACCATGATATTATTCAGCAGCAAGTTATTAATTTTTCAAATTATACCTCACAAGGCATATTTTGTACAAAGATTATTACAATGGTTTGTAGGGAGGCAGTTCCAGATAAGGGACCCAAACAGCTAGATAACATACCAGAACAAAGAACTTCAGTTCCAAGGAAAAGGAAGGCTAAATCAAAACATGTCTGACCTCCTCTCTCTGGTGAATCATCAAAAAATTCTCACCATTATCCCTTCTACAAATTCCAATTTCAGTCATTTCACCAATAGGTTTCATTATTGGGTCTGCTTCTGTATATAGTTTTAGAAGTACCCTTAGTATTTATTTAGTTAGGATTTAGCCTGATGTGATGCCCTCACCAGGTTTTAAACACTGCCTGTTGTGTGGGGTGGCTATCCCTAATAGGGATCCCCACACACACACACACTGCATTTATTCTGCCTTGGAGAAGGGCACATTTAAAGGAAAGTGCTCTATCTGTAAGTCATTCAAAGAGAGCACTGGTGATTAGAGATTTGTGCTTGAAGCAGCACCTTATGGAGCAGGCCATGAGCTTGCTTTGGTACTGGAGACCTCTGCCAATTGTCCAATCCCTCAGAGCACTTCAGAGCCGGTAGGGGCTGTTGTTCCACAGCCAGATTCTGATTTCTATCTTAATTGGAAGAGAGATCATTCTCTGAGGAAAAGGAGTCACAAAATGGATGAGAGCCATTGCAAAGCTAGGAGAGATTCCTCCTCCTCCTTCTAAGAGGAGTGCAGACTGACACAGAGATTCCTCTAGTACACAGGATAGAGGTGGGCTGTCTACTTACTCTCTGGTACTGAGATGAGAACAATTGGACAGCATACTGTCAAGTCCGGTACCAATGATGTTGGTGTTGACACCGATTTGTTTCTGGTCTGACATATCAGGCAAATCTGACTTGCTTTGCCTTTCTGCCCCAGACATTCTATTAATTCAGTAGCACTCAACTGTGGTGGCCTCTTCTGTTATCAATACCTCATAGACTTGGTTACAGATTATTCACTGTTGCCAGCACTGTCTTCTGCACCGCTTAAAAATCAGGATGCAGAGCTGAGTTTGGCCCCTTTATCAGTACTGAGGGGTCATCAGTGCAGCTACAGTCTTCAGTAATGGACAGTTTAGGAGCAGACCACATCTGCAGGACTGGTACTGGGCTCGACTTCATGACTGATGTCCATTCCAGTGTCGTGTGAGTGCAATACCCCTACCGCTACTCCAGGCACCAGCTGCTTAGCCATCGACAGCATTGATGCAGCCTGCACGTTGGGCTTCAGATGAGTCTGGATGTTTGCTTGCTCTACCTGAGTGGTTCCTCCATTGCCACAGGACTGCTTGGAAGGTTCTTCAAGAGAGAATTTGGGAACATCTTCTGCCTCTCCGTCACCTTCAAAATACCATTCTCAAAAGTCTGAGACCTCCTGGGGATCACTAGAGGTACAGATATTAGCATTGCTCCCACAGTAGAGATAAGAGTCTTGGTCCAGTTCCCACTGGCCACCAATCCTCAATGGCCTCCTTGGGATGTTCCTCAATCTGCAAGGTCCCAATGCTCAGGTTAGTCCAGGGCAAGGTCACTGATCTTTGTTCATCTCCATTCTGAGCTAGTTTATCTTCAACCATTGTTACAGGGGCAGGTGTTTCCACAGGAGATTTCATTGGTTCCACTTCATTTTTCTTTCTCCTCGCTGGATGATTCTATGGTGCCAGCTTCCTCTTGTCCTGTACCTGAAGATTTTAAGCCATATCAAGATCTCCTGAGGTGAATGGCTACAAGCTTGGGCATTCAGACAGAGTTTGTTCAGGACAGTACTAATAAGTTGGTATATTTTCTCCAGTTGTTCTCTCCAGCGAGAGTAGCTCTCCCTATAAATGAAGCACTTTTTGGAACCTGCAAAAATGTACCCTATGTTCCTTTCCACTCTCAGTGAAGCATACTGAAAAGAGGTATTGTGCCCTTATGCAGGGTTTTCAGTGCTTCTACTCTCATCCAGCCTCTAACTCACTTGTCATAACAGCAGCAAGTGAGAGGTTGTCAGGGGAGATATAAGTCAGCACCTAAAGACAGAGTCTAAAAGGTTAGATTTAATGGGAAGGAAAAACTTACTCAACCTCTTCTTTAGAAATTCACATTGCTAATCAGCAGGTGCTGTTAGCCTCCTAATTTACAAAATCCTATGTCCAAATTTACATATAAATTGCGAGAATCCTCCAGGGAAGAGTTTAAGACATTCATTGTGGAAGGTTGTCTGGTGGCCAAGACGTCACTGCAATACACGGAGGACACTCTTCTCTCGCCCCCCGGATTATTATTTCGGCTGTAACAATGAGAAGAGCCTCATGGTTACAGAATTCTGGCATAGCTTCTGAGGTCCAACAAAGCATAGAGGATTTACCTTTTGATGGTTGGTTTTTGTTTCCCTCCCCCCCCCATGGACAAATGATCCTAAGTACTGTGGGATAAGGTTATGCCATCCTGTCCATTTCCCCCTTCCTACCCCATCCCTTTTCAGGGACCCCTCTCACAAGTCACTGCTCCAACAGCAGGTTCAGACTCTATTTGCTTCGGAAGCTGTAGAAGAGCTTCCTCTTCATCATTGGGAGAAGGGGATTTTACTCATGGTATTTCCTGATTCCCCCCCAAGTCTAAGGGAGAGTTGAGAGCTATGTATGAACAAGTACAACAAACACATAAGAAGCAACATGGTTACCCTAGTGATGATTCTCACCAAGTTGGATCAATATGACTAGTGTGCTGATC